GTCGCTCTTTCAAAGTACTTTGCAACCATTCTGCAAACTCCTTTTTCGATTCTTGCTTATAGGATTGTTAATATTTTTCTGATTTACCCCTGAACTCATAAACTCACCTCTCATTTTAATTAAATATTTATTTTGTAAACAGACAGGTTTCGGTTTCTTTATTGCTTGTCCGGTGATAAGATAATGACGGTAATCTACCAATCTGTACCTTTGTATGCACAAAAATCAATTCAGGGCTAGCGGAGTAAGGGATGAGGATGTGCATTCGTAATCATAGGCAACCCAAATCAAATCTACGCCTCAAAACTATGAAGACTACATAAAATTAACTTTTAGCTTTATTTTTGGTTTCAGCTCTTTTTGGCAAGTATAAAAAGTTAAAATACTGAAAAATCCGGTTCAAGTCCATGCATGGACAATTTGAAATTTGCAATATGAATTTATATTCTAAATTCTATGCATATCCGTTCATATTCGTCAATCTTTCATTTGAAGCTTTTACTTGTCACAAGATTATAGCAAAATGTAAGACAGTAAAGGCAGCACCGCCCAGTTGACAAGAACGACAAGCTGTCAAGATTGGAGATATTTAGATCCACGAAAAGTATTGATATGTATCGATTCTTATCGTTTTAGGAAGTATCGATACTCTAAAGTCTTGGAATAAAGTTATTGATATCCAGCGGAAGGAAACAAAGAAGAAAAGTAATATGAAGTTAGTCACTCTTTCTGACACAGTCCGGATCGAAAGATGACGATACTCGTGAAACGTATCGATACACCCAAGTGTCGTACATAAAAATATCGATCCAAAATATTGAGTATGGGAAGCAAACGTATAGATACTTCTAATATAGGATCGTATCGATGCATAACCCGTGGTACCGACGGAGCTATTTTGCGGCGTCATGGGAATAATTTTAAATTTTCATTTGCATTTTTTCAATTGTTATGCAACGATTTTGGGAAAAATTCCTCGTATAGTCTTATAAAGCATAGTAGAGTATATTTCAACAGTTGGCGGAGCTTACTTACTCCACTGGGACCAAGGGTTGATAGATCCCACACATGTGTCACTCGTTGGGGAGTTTTGAAATGTAATAATCAGCTGTTATTCAAATAATGTCTAATATAGATATAACCTAGAATGTGGACTCTCTACTTTTTTGCAGGTTTTAAGTTTGCCGGTAGCTATACGACATATATTTGTAAATTTGTAAATATAGGGATGTTTGTTCAGTTTCTGAACAACAAAAAAATATTTTCCTATGGATGTATGGCTATCGTCAAAAATCCTGAATGGTTTTGTCGGAACATCAATCGACGGTGCTATAATGGTACTGATGAACGGCAAGTAAATGAATGAATATTTGGAAACGAGCAATATCTATGAAATTTTTGGTAGAGCCTGTCATCAAGTAGGTGTTTAATGGCTATGTGCAAGAGGTTTGTAGGAAAAAACATACGGTAGGTGACGTTGAATCAGTAAAATCGCATATCAGTTGAAGAAAATAATATAAACATGAATGAACAATCGACGATATTGAATTAAACCATGAATTTTATTCAAAAATCGAACACTTCTAAATTTTGACTAAATTATATATAATATCTTAATATTCAATAAACTGGTAAAATTTGTTGATTGGAACTTGAAGCTCATTCGCTGTATTTGACCTATGGTGGAGAATAACGGACGGTTTATTTGAGAATCCTGGTGAAATCGACCCTTACACATTTATATTATGGCACAGGAGCTAAGGTCCCACGGACTGCTGTGATAACCAACGCCCATACTTGATGAAATCATTTTTTTTGTTGACGAGCGGTTGACGACCCTATGCTTCTTTAACGAAATATAAGAGCTAACAGAGTTTAATCTTCTGAGCTCCATTTGATGAAGCTGCTACACTAGAGGATGTTTCTGCAAAATGCAAACTTTGGTGATGTGAACAACATGTGTGTACTTGGGCCTGCCTAGGAATCCTGAGAGATCTTGGGGTATAGAATATGCAAGCTTACGCCACCAAAGTGAACGTGTTATGTAGAGATTATGCGCTATAGTCAACGCCAAACAAAGTGGCGTGCACGTCATCACGATAAAAATTCCCCGACCTAATGCCTAGGTTTCTATCACAAACAATTGCTCTATTGCAGTTTCATATTAATGTGATATATAAATTATAAAATGGTCATTACTCTCTTATTATGGTTAATAGTCATATAAACATTGTTATTAAAATATCACATAAGTTGCTTTCTGATAAATTTAGACGCATTATGCGAAATAAAATGTTTTGCAAACGCACCAATCACTTATCGACATGTAAACGCACTAAACCGATTTCGCAGCGTTGACACATTGTCACCTTGAAACTTATTTAAACTGGGAACTGACATTTGTATTAATTTTGACACTGAATCAATTTGTGGCATTTCAAATCTTTATAAATCCTTTGGCCCCGCATACTGTAAATCAACAACTGTTTGTTTCAAAACAAAATTATTCATTTTACGAGTAGATAAAGGCAATTTTGGTATATAAAGATGCCCAAACAGTTAAATAGTCGGTGTAAGGAACTCGTGGCCTCGTTAATGCACTACTTTGAGCAAGAAAGGGACAACAACGGGCCTTTGTTGCCTTTAAATGCTGTTCAAGAGGTAGGTTACTAATAATTATATGTAATGTATATTAATAATAGTGAAATTTTATTTCATTTTTTGTAGCGTGTTGCTGCTGCTTTAAAAAATAGTTTAAGGACAGTTAGTCGTATTTCCGAGGGTGTGAAAAGTGATGCAAATTTAGAATCGCCCAAGAAAAAGCGGAGTTATATTAAACGTGTAACCAACACAGCGACATTGGATACAAGTGCCATTCGAGAAGTGATCTATAATATGTATCACAAAAGTAAGATCTTATTATAATAACTTATCAGAAATTTGCATTAATTTGTTAACTAAATTATAATGTCATATTACACATGGTTTCAGAAGAACAAGTTACGATACAAACTTTATGGTCTCGATTAAGAGATAGGGCATTATTTGATGGTAGTGCCACGTCTTTAAGGCGGTTGCTTAGAGATCTTGGATTTAAGTGGCTTAAGGACAATCCGCGACGAGGGCTCATGGAACTACCAAGTATAGCTTTGAAAAGGGTGGAATTTCTAAGGCAATACAATCTAGCCAAGGTTGAGGCCTTATACCAGTTTGTCTTCCTCGATGAAACTTGGATATTTCAAAATGGGACCATAGGTCGCTCTTGGCAAAATGGAAACCAAAAAAGCATGAAAGCTATTAAAACAGATGGTAAAAGGTATGTACTTTTACACAATTTGCACTATAAAATTTAAAACTAATATATTTTAGATACATTATATTACATGCTGGAAATGAAAATGGGTTTATTGAGGGTAGTGAAGCGATATTTTCTTCGAAAACAAAATTGAGCGATTACCATGGAGAGATGAACCAGGACAATTTTTTGAAATGGTTTCAACATCAGTTATTAGAAAAATTGGAGAGTCCATCTATGATTATACTGGATAACGCCCCTTATCACAGCATGATATTGAACAAAGTGCCCAACAATGCATGGACAAAAAAAAATATCCAAGACTGGTTGACAAATCAAAACATACCATTTTTAAACTCAATGTTTAAAACAGAGCTATTGAGTATTGTTGCTCGGTACATAATGCTTCTTAATTATATATATTTTGGTCGACAGTTTATATTTCTTTTGTTTATTCCTATTCTTAAAATAACTGCTTTTTTAGAAACAAACCACCTAAAATATACGTGATTGATGAATTGGCGGAACAACATGGGCACAAAGTTCTTCGTCTGCCTCCTTACCATTGTATATTTAACCCTATTGAGTTAATTTGGGGCATAGCAAAAGGTTACTATAACAGACATATTGGTAGAGATGGTAACAGTGAAAAAGACTGTTTGGATATGTGGAACGAGGCTCTACAAACGGTTACCCCAGACATGTGGAAAAATAGTGTTCGACATACTGAGCAAGAAATTTTTAAATGGTATGAAAGAGAACGAATTTTTGATCGACCAGACATCGAACCTTTAATAATCAACTTTGAGAGTGATGAAGATTCAGATTCAGACAGCGCTGAAGAAAGAAACTCCGACTAACTTTATTGTACAGAAAAAGCTTACACCAGTAGCTTACCTAATTTTAGAATGCATTTTTCTGTATGAATTCTGTAAAATAAATACCATGCGTTTGGAGGACCCCATTTGGATTTTTATTCAGTACCTTTAAGCTATCAATTAAATATGGTAGTTTCATAGTGTCATCTGATCAATAATTGTCATACTTAATGATTATGCAAGTACAGATCTAAAATTTTATTATACTATTATTTTTGTTCTCATTTGAGGTTAATATTGCTTATAAACCTAGATATGTAAATAATAAATTTTATTATTTTACAAAAAGTTTGGCAACAATGTAAATTTTTCAACACACCCACCTTGATGACGTGCACGCCACTTTGTTTGGCGTTGACTATATGTAATGTCAGGTCATAGCATCAAAAGACGTTATTTCCGATTTTCGTGAAATTATCACCGCATACTTCATGGTGTGCAGGATCTTATGGTGTCAAAAAACTGTATCTCAATTATAATTTCTGGGTAAAATATTCCCATATAGCACAACGACATCTTAAAAACGTTCAAACGATATCTTACTCTGTACTTTCAAGTTGTCTTAAAGATATCTTGGATTTCCGGAAAAATGTCTCATATACGTCTTATAAATGTACGTATGTTACAAATCCTAACGTCTTTAAGACATCTTTAAATGACATCTTTGAGATGTCTGTTGACGACGACTTTAAGATGTCTTTTGATAACAGTTTTAAGACTTGTTTTAACCCCATTTTTCGATAAAAACTATAGCTCTCCAATAAAACAATTGAATATTGAAAAAATCTAGACCATATATTTTGGAATGGAAAATACTATGTATAGCGTAAGTTTAAAGTTTTTTATTCATTTGATAGGTACTTCTATCAGATGCTCTTCTCAGCCATAACTGAATTGCTGTTTCAGCCTCCTTTTTTGACTTTGCCAATGTTGTAGCAAGCAATGACTCTGAAAATCATGAAATTAAACTTGGGAAACATATTACGGTAAAAATATGTACCAATTAGCAAATCTGCAATTTTCATATTTGAAAATTTTCTTTTTCCTTTACGGCCCAGCCAACTGTATTTCATAGCCAGTTCATTGGATAAAATTAATTTTTAATTTTTATACACAATGCTACAAATTTTAAGACATATACAATAGATTAAACCTACTGCATTATTGAAATTTGAGGTATCAGCCAAATAGTTTTCAAATAGCAGGACATCTTCATTTGAAGATAAGGGAAAGTTCAGTGAAATTGAAGTAAAGAAACTTTTTGTTGTATTTGCCACCAGCTCGTCTTTTAGTTGTTTGACTTCAGCCAAGGTTTCCGTGACCAATCCTCTTAAAATATGTCCCTGCTGCACAAGCACTTTAAATATTTTATCTAAAAACAAAAAAAAGGTTCGATCAATAACAAGAAAATAACCCTGGTTGTTTACTCCGTGAATGAGTACCTCTTTGACGATGCAATTTAGTCTAAGTTTTAACCTAATTTTATCAAATACTGAAACAAGTATTGGATAAACCTGGCTACTTGAACTTTTAGCTAGTGGTAATCCATCTATATTGATATTTAATAATATAGTATTTGAATTCCAACTGCTCCCCAAAGAACTAAATAAAGATTCAATAGCTTCAGTCAAACCAAAATGATAATACTCTCCTGGAGGGACAGAATCAACAAGAATGTTTCTTTGTGTTTGTAGTAATGTGCGGGCATCAAGAGGTAAACACTCATTTACATTATTGTTCAAAATGTTTAGCAAAACTGTTAAAGCAGAATTTGGAATATTGTATTTTATCGCCCAAAATACTAATTTATTTTGTAAGCACATTTCATCCATACTACATTTAGTGTTTTGTTCAATACTTGATGATGATTCGGCACTCAATTCAGTTTCACCAAAATGATCACCCATGGTCTCATCATTCTCCTCTAAATGATCAAATAATGGGCAATCAGTCAAAGAAAGATCAACATTTGCATTCTCACTGCTATTTCCCTCGATGCTATCACTAATACGTGAAATAGCAGACTTCCCAGAATTGGAACTAGCAGGAAGGTCATGACTTATTGCCCTTTTAGCTCGCATATAAAATTTTTGCAAGTTATTTCTTTTCATTTTAATTATATTCAGATATGTTTTTCAGTAGTATGCACAGCACAAAAGTTTTTTTTAAAAATCCGTGATAAAAATGGGAGGACCTACTCTGGATCAAACCACGCCACAAGGCAGAATCCACGGAGAATCTATAGAGTAAAGAACATGCATTAAAGGGCGAAAATCAGACAAGGTTAAGAAACACATTCCAGCTAAAAAACTGATGATAACCACAAATACATACCTTTCGACTTGCAGGCAGGCCCGCGAAGTACAGAAAAGACAGTTTTCGTACAGATTCCAGTGATTACACATAGATTAATTAGCATTAATTAGGCACCACAACCCCATTACGCACTTTGTACTTTCAGCTCACAGAACACATAACACTGAGAACGCGAGAACAGTCCCGTGTCATCCATAGCCATAGGGCAACGCAATTGACTTATGTCAATGTCAAGCGGCCATTTTTTTACTGCTTTGAGCATTTGTTTTTTTCTCTGACACTATTGCACCTAGTATTTTAGCTATAATACTTAGAACAGTCACTTGGAATATTATTTTCAGCCACAACAGATATGGAAAAGATATCTTAAAGATGTTACATTCCAGATGTCTTAAAGACATCTCTAGTAAGACATCTGGGAGATATCTTTTTCAGGTCTTAAGACATAACGACCTCATTAGGACATAAATAAGACATCTTAAAGATGTTGTGTGCTATATGGGTTATGGTTGAGATACAAATTTTTGACACCAAAGAAAATGGATTATGAAAATGATTCCACAAAAATCGTAGATAACGTTTTTTGAAGCTAACACCTTATTGTTAAATGATGTTTCTCGACATGAATCTGTTTTAAGAGGGTGACATGGGCTGATACTGGTCTGAAGAAAATCTTGTAAGACGCATTTCGGACGTAATGGCGGTATACTAGTCGTACCTCTTCGATTCTACCGTGTGGCACTGAGCGTGCTTTGCCGAGCTTAAACAGGCGAGTGCATTTATGCCGATGACCAGCAAGAAAAACATGATGAAATTTATTGTCGTGGTCGGGAATAGCAGCAGCATGACTAGACGAAAATTGGATGTAGCCTAGCCATCTACAAGGTGTTCGATAAGTATTCGAAAACTTCCGTGCAGGGGCACTTCTGAATTAATCAGAGAGAGAAGAGAGTACGATTTTCCAGTGGGATTAGAATGCGTGTTGCTGTTCCTCCATTCAACTATACTATAACTATCTAAAACTGTAATGACTCATCGATGTTCACGTGAACATCACTTAACTACCAGTAGTCGGCTGTTCATAGGCGGGGTATGAATGTTTAACATGGGTGAACTAGATTTGTCACATGATTAATAAAGAGTGGCTTGAAACATATTGTAAGTCAAAAATTTGGGAATTACCTTTATTCATCGTCGCTTCCACTTACATTTGACAGTAATAAACTGTCGCTATCGCTTTCCTCGTTGAAATTGACTATAACTGGCTCTATGATGGTGTCGATGTGGTGGTCAAGCTGCCACATTTTTGTTTCTTCCTTCACAACATGACGGATAGCATTCTGCCAAGCTTCGGGCGTTACTAGCTGTATGGAAGTCTCAAGTAAAACCTTAACGTCTGGTAATTTGAAGGTTGTGTTATGGCGCGCAATATAACCCTTCACTTGAGCCCAGATGAGCTCTATTGGGTTCAGTTCACAGTGGTAGGGCGCAGCACAGTGACACCACATTGACGGGCCATCTCATCAGTCACGTAACTAATGTTCGCAGGTTTGTGCTGATTAATTTTTTCATACAATTCCGCTTCCACACATGAATCGTCAAACGGGATTCCTTTTTCGCGCAACCATTGCTGCATGTCACTTTTTCGAGATCCCATAGTCGGTACACGTTCGGCTCGACGACTATGGTAGGAAGCATTATCCATGACGATCACAGAGTTGGGCTCAACTCGCTGAAGCACCCCTTGAAACCAGCTCTCGAAGCAGCTGGCGTCCTTTCTTAGAGACGAAAATCAAGTCACACTCTTCTAAAAAGCCACTATCGCTACCAATATGAGTTACGATCAATCTTTGACCTTTCCCTGACGGTCCACGAAGACCTGTTGACAAACCTTCAATGCTTGCTTGTCGGTTATTCACTACCTTTTTGTCTATCCAGGTTTTTTTAATTGTGTGACCTGCATTTACCCATGTCTCGTCCAAATAATAGATTTTTCTGCTTTGTCGCCTATATTCAATCATTTCGCGTAGGTATTTTCGACGCCAGGCGACTATTTCAGGTCTCTCTATCACAACTGACTTCCGATTACGCGTTTCGTAACGAAAATTAATTTCGTGCAGGGATTTCCTCATTACCTCGACGCTCATTTGGGGTATAATTTCATTTTCCTTGATCGCTGCATGTACAGCCTTGAGCTTTGGTATCTCATTCCTAAAGAAGAATGAATGTACGGTTCGCCTTAACGCCATTTTGCTATCGTCATCCAATTTAACGGCCTTTCGTCCCTTCAAATTAAACTTTGGATCAGTAGTAGCTCCAGTTTTCTTCTTTTCATGCACCACCCTGCGAATGGTCCACTCTGGAACGCCTGTCATACTTTCACAACGCGCGAGTGCATCTCCCTGCGACATAGTTCTGTTCAGATAATTGAACACGTTGAGCACGATTTCTTTCGCGTCCCTCTTCAATGCTTTACGAAGCCGTCTGCTTGTTCCCTGGCTTTCAGTACTTCCACTCGTGCCATTTGTACTCTCCATGGTTAAGTATAACCAAAACAGTAACCACAGAAACCACAACAATAACAATCACACAACAATTCTTATAAAAACACACAATATGCGATCGCTCAACGAAACACGTTCCAATGCGTTGCCGACGCCTATGAGTCTGCCGGTCGAGGCGCGTCTTTGATTTCATTGGTTCTACCGGCGGAGAACAATCAGCCATTATTTCCATCTCTGTCTCTGCTGTTGACCACCGCAAAGCCACAGAAACGACATATGTCGTACGCTATACGGCTGTACTGGAAGGAAGCCGGGATCGAGCTCTGATCACGTGTTGATCACGCGTATGAGTCATTACAGTTTTAAATAGTTGTAGTATAGTGCCTTTTATAATAATAACAATATTCATTCACCAAAAGACAATTTTTAATGAATCGTATCGAGATGGTCAAGGAGGCAAAAAATAATTTATAACACCTATATATAAGAAGGTAAAAATGGAATATACACATTAAAAGCAATAACATAAAAGAATAGAACATACACAAACTCATAATACTACACTACGTTAATAACGCTATAAAAACATCGATCAACTAAAAATTTCTTGAGGGACTTCACAAGCAAATTAGAATTGACAGTCGACTTAACAGTTCAAGATAATGCGCTGAACAGACTTATAACTAGACAATCAGGGGAGTACTTGTTAATTTTATATTTCCTATATGATGTGTATAAATAATTATTTTGTCATGTACGCAGACCATGGACATCACTAACACTTCGAAGTTCATTATTATTATTTAAAACATACACATTCCTAAAATAAACAGGTTGAGAAGGGTTAGAATATTAAGATTTTTAGAAACCTCTTTACAAGACTCTGTGCTATACCTACCAAACATCTAACTGCGCTCTTCTGGGCAACAAAAATATCTTGTGAATTAGTGCTCATACCCTAGAAACACACACCATAACAAAGTTTGCTGCCAACATCGGCATGTAAAGCAATGGAAATTCATCATGTGACAGCACTGACCTTAAATTCTTCATCAAAAATGGTACTGAGTGTAGCTTGGAAATTAATGATTGGCAACGAAATCTCCAACTCAAATACGGATCTAAGTGCATACCTAGGAGTTTTATGCTTTGGCAGCTATTTGCGATTATGCACGAATTTGCCACCCATATAATCAAATTATCACAAACATGTTATGGTACCTCAGAGCTACTGTTTCTGCTCCGTTCAAGAGTAATTCATTCCACTAGATGAGGTTAGGTCCATTAAAATGCCTTCTGAGATCTACAGTTACACCAAAGCAAGATATCATGACCTTGGAAATAATCAAATAAGAAAACGTGTGGGAAATGTTATTTGATGCGTGTAAAGACCAGCCCTTATATATTAAGTGACATATAAATCCGAACACCCAGTTTAAATGGTTTTATTTTAATAAAATTTTGTATAAATACTTAATGAAGCATAATAAGTAAATGATAAAAATTTCAAAATGATTGCACTGCTTTAAAGCCCTTTGACCTTTAATAATGTGTGGATGCACCCTGATGTGCTACGCATTCTCCAACGCGCCTAGGCATGCTTATGATCAGGTGGTCAATGTCCTCCTGTGGTATCTCATTCCAGGCAACCACCAACTCCTCTCGAAGTGCTTCTAGAGTCTGAGGAGGACGTTGCAAATTGAGCAATCTCCTACCCATCATATCTCACACGTGCTCAATTGGGGATAAGTCGGGAGATCTTGGTGGCCATGGTAACAATGTGACATCATTATGTTGAAAGAAGTCTATTGTAACTCTTGCAACATGTGGTCGGGCATTATCTTGTTGGAAAGTTGGATCTGCCAGGGTGTCAAGATAGGGTAAAAGATGGGGTTCTAGAACTTCGTGGATATAACGCTGCGCGTTCATGTTACCTCTGATGAAGATTAAAGGTGACCTGGAACCATAAGCTATAGCACCCCAAACCATAACTCCAACAGTGTGATGAACATGTCTTTCAACAAAAAACTGTGGATTCCTCCTTTCACCACGTCGCCTTCTAACCGTGGCGCGACCATCGTGCATGCCTAAACAAAATCGAGACTCGTCACTAAAGACAATACTGTTCCATTCCTGATCCCAGAGTGACCGTTGTCTGCACCACTCAAGGCGATTACGTCGGTGTTCTCGAGTTAAAGGGAGGACCCAGTGTGGCCGGTATGAAAACAAGCCAAAACTTATCATTCGTCGTTAAACACTTCGCATACCAATAGGTCTTCCGTGTTCTGCAAGCCATTCATTTGCAATGGAGCTGGTAGTGGAGACACGGTCCCTTAAGGCCAATAATCTTAGGCGGCGATCTTCACGGTCTGTTGTCCTACGGCGGCGTCCAGTGCCCCTTGCTCTTTGCGTACGGCCTTCTCGAAGCCATGTCTGACAACACCTAACCACAGTGTCTGCACTTCTTTGCACTCTAACTGCAATTGCCCGAAAAGAAAGTTCAGCTTCCCGAAGTCCCACTATACAGCCCCTATCAAACTCACTAAGTTGACGAAATCGTACAGGTCTCCGTACTCTAGGCATCGTAACCGATCGTAAAGGATGTCAAGAACCAAAATCCGCCAACGTTGATTCTTTACTGCGGCT